CTCAAGCGGCGCGCAGCGCCCGCGCCCGCGAGATCCGAGGTGGCCGCCAAGAAGGGCATGGTCGCGGGGTAACCAGCATCAGGGTGACGAAGGTTCGGACGAACCCTAAGGCCAGCGTCGATTCATTTTAGTTGGTGAACAGAACGACGGGGTTGCTCGCCAACAGGTACCAGACGACTATATGAGGTACTGGCGGGCACCTGGCTGGTCCGACCATCGTGTCCGCCATTATTGGTCATTGCGGAATGTGCAGCGGGGCCCTAAGACGGGTAAGTTCATCCGATCCAACGGACCGGGTAATGCTCGGCAGTTTGAAACGCTGGAGAAGAAGGATTAGAATAATGGCATATGTGCGGATCGGAAGAAGTGCCCAGAAGAGGTCTGTGGATGCGAGCACTTCGTGGACCAGAAGCCGAATTGCCCGATGGGGCGCCCTTCAAGGAACCCCAACCTCGAGAAGACCCCATGGGTCTGGTCCAATGGGGATGGCGAAGGTCGCAAGGTGGACCCAGGCGGCCCTTGAGTGTGGCCTGTCCGCAGCAGTGGACGCACGGCTCTCCCGCTGTGAGTCGCGGATCTTCCCGTGCTCGACATCGCGTTGTGATTGTTGCCGTGCAAGTCGGCAGTCCCCGACCTGTGCTGTGCACGCTACCCTTTTTTCACTTTTCTTTCTCGGGCCTTCCACCGTCCAGTGCTGCACCCCGTGTGGGCCCGCCGCTGCACGCTCTCGAGAGTACGTTGCTCTCCGGCTCGGTCCGCTGTGTATACGACAGGGCGAGTGCTTCCGTCTTTCCCGCCGCAGCCTCATGGTGATCCGAGGAGCGAGTCAGCGGCTCGCAGCAGAAGGGCGAGGGGCGAGTCAGCGGCTCGCAGAGGGGCGAGTCAGCGGCTCGCGGGCGCCGAAGCTGGTTCACAAGAGCCGTTCGCCTCAGCCCTTGTGCGTGAGAGAGCCCAGCAATCCCAGAATCCTATCCCTCCTTGTGCTTCCTGTTTGACGCTGCGCTAAGCCAAGAAGGAGGAGGACGAGGAGGAGGAGGAGGAGGAGGAAACACACGGTCTGTTGTCCTTGTGCTTCCTCCTCCTCCTCCTCTGCCCGTCGCCCCTCGTCTCAAGTCGTGCCGTTGTTTGGCGTGTCCGGTAGTGCTCGCCCGTCGCTCTGTCGGGTTCTTCGGCACGCAGTGTTGACCTTCTGGGCACTCGAGGTGTATGGGGTCCAGCCGACGACGTTTGTGGTGCGGGCTGAGACGGACTGGCTCACACTCGGCATGTGTGTGTGTGTGTGTGTGTGTGTGCGCGGAACTTTCACACCCTTCACTGCTCCTTCTTCTCGTCTTCCTCCTTCTCCTCCTTGTCCTGTTCCTCTCCTGCTCTTCCTCCTTCTCCTCCCCCTCCTCCATCTTCTTCTCCTCTTCCTCATCCTCTTCCTCTTCCTCCTTCTCCTCCTCCTCCTCCTTCGCCTCCCCCTTCTCCTGCCTGCCCCTCCCGCCCCACTCGAATGAAAACTATGTACATCCCTTGTCCGTGTAAGCCTTCGTCTTGTTGCCACTTCCATGTCACAGCCTACCTACAGCTGCCATTCTCTCATTGCCCTGCCATGGCCGGCCGTTTTCGTCTGGTAGAGTCCTGTCACGAGCTGGCAGACGGGTTCGGCGCTCTAGGGGACCTTGGGGGGTCTTTGGTCTGGACTGCGGGGGAATTTGATGCGGACGAGTGGGCCAGGACGGACTGGCGCCGACTTGTTTTGAAACCTGCTGATCTTAAACCGTCGGGCTGAGGACAACCTGGCAGCCTGGTGCCCTCGACTCGAGGCCAGCGGAGAGGTTCAATCTTCAGGGTGCGCTTGTAACGCGCAGTGTATAAACATGCCACGTGACGATCTATGTGGCGCCAGGTCGCCACCAGCACCAGAATAACGATCACGCGAGCGGCTCTATACCCCGACGGTCGACGTCTTGATGGTACTTCCACTGCTACCAGCACGGTGTCAACCGTATCCACTGAAGCGTTGTACATCGACGGCCCGCGAGTGGCAAATGCGGCATGGGCGGGTCTTTGCTACAGCCCACCCTTCCCGAGGGCTGATGCTGAGGCGGCGTGTAACGCAGATCCTGATTGCACTTCACTGCATGACAACGACTGTACGAACACAGGTGTGCGATATTGCTTCAGCGCGATCAGCGACATTGTAGCAAACTGGGAGGGCACGGACAGCAGGGCCTGCATGTACGTCAAGTACCAGGTCACCACCAGTACAGCGACCTCGACCGTTCCTATGTACATTGACGGTCCGCGAGTGGCCAGTTCTGCGTGGTCTGGTCTATGCTACAGCCCACCTTCCTCGAGGACTGATGCTGAGGCAGCGTGCAACGCAGATCCTGATTGCACTGCCCTGCATGACAACGACTGTACGGACACAGGTGTGCGATATTGCTACAGCGCGATCAGCGACATTGTGGTGAACTGGGAGGGCATGGACAGCAGGGCCTGCACCTACGTCAAGTACCAGGTCACCAGCAGCACCCTCAGCACAACCACGCCAGTCTCTACTACACTGACAACTGTATCCACGGAAGCATTGTACATTGACGGTCCGCGAGTAGCCAGTGCTGCGTGGTCTGGGCTATGCTACAGCCCATCGTCCTCGAGGGCTGTTGCGGAGGCGGCGTGCAACGCAGATCCTGATTGCACCGCCCTGCATGACAACGACTGTACGGACATTGGTGTGCGATATTGCTACAGCGCGATCAGTGACATTGTGGCGAACTGGGAGGGCACGAACAGCAGGGCCTGCACCTACATCAAGTACCAGGTCACCGCCAGCACTCTCAGCACAACTACTTCAGTGGGAGTTAGTGCTACTGCCACCACGGATTCCAGCGCTGCTTCAACGTCACTAACAACCAGATCCGCTGAAGCATTGTACATTGACGGTCCGCGAGTGGCCAGTTCTGCGTGGTCGGGTCTATGCTACAGCCCACCTTCCTCGAGGACTGATGCTGAGGCGGCGTGCAACGCAGATCCTGATTGCACTGCCCTGCATGACAACGACTGTACGGACACAGGTGTGCGATATTGCTACAGCGCGATCAGCGACATTGTGGCGAACTGGGAGGGCACGAACAGCAGGGCCTGCACCTATATCAAGTACCAGGTCACCACCAGCACTGCCACCGCGTCAACGGTAAGCATTGCCGCAACTTTATACGTTGATGGTCCGCGAGTGGCCAGTGCTGCGTGGTCTGGTCTATGCTACAGCCCAACGTCCTCGAGGGCTGATGCTGAGGCGGCGTGCAACGCAGATCCTGATTGCACTGCCCTGCATGACAACGACTGTACGGACACAGGTGTGCGATATTGCTACAGCGCGATCAGTGACATTGTGGCGAACTGGGAGGGCACGAACAGCAGGGCCTGCACCTACATCAAGTACCAGGTCACCACCAGCACTCTCAGCACAACTACTTCAGTGGGAGTTAGTGCTACTGCCACCACGGATTCCAGCGCTGCTTCAACGACACTAACAACCAGATCCGCTGAAGCATTGTACATTGACGGTCCGCGAGTGGCCAGTGCTGCGTGGTCTGGTCTGTGTTACAGCCAAACGTCCTCGAGGGCTGATGCTGAGGCAGCGTGCAACGCAGATCCTGATTGCACTGCCCTGCATGACAACGACTGTACGGACACAGGTGTGCGATATTGCTACAGCGCGATCAGTGACATTGTGGTGAACTGGGAGGGCACGGACAGCAGGGCCTGCACCTATATCAAGTACCAAGTCACCACCAGCACTATCAGCACAACCACGCCAGTCTCTACTACACTGACAACTGTATCCACGGAAGCATTGTACATTGACGGTCCGCGAGTAGCCAGTGCTGCGTGGTCTGGGCTATGCTACAGCCCATCGTCCTCGAGGGCTGTTGCGGAGGCGGCGTGCAACGCAGATCCTGATTGCACTGCCCTGCATGACAACGACTGTACGGACATTGGTGTGCGATATTGCTACAGCGCGATCAGTGACATTGTGGCGAACTGGGAGGGCACGAACAGCAGGGCCTGCACCTACATCAAGTACCAGGTCACCACTAGCATCCGGACCACCACGAGAAGCAGCACAATGAGCAGCGGTAGCACCGCGTCCACGCTGAGTGGGACCGCGACCCGCTCGGTGACTTCAACGACAGCAGCGACGACCACGACAATCACGGCAACCGTCATCACATCAACAGCAACCGACGCTTTGTACATTGACGGTCCGCGAGTGGCCAGTTCTGCGTGGTCGGGTCTATGCTACAGCCCACCTTCCTCGAGGGCTGATGCTGAGGCGGCGTGCAACGCAGATCCTGATTGCATTGCCCTGCATGACAACGACTGTACGAACACAGGTGTGCGATATTGCTACAGCGCGATCAGCGACATTGTGGTGAACTGGGGGGGCACGAACAGCAGGGCCTGCACCTACATCAAGTACCAGGTCACCACCAGCACCCTCAGCACAACCACATCAACCATTGCGACTGTATCCACGGAAGCATTGTACATTGAGGGTCCGCGGGTGGCCAGTGCTGCGTGGTCTGGTCTATGCTACAGCCCATCGTCCTCGAGGGCTGACGCTGAAGCGGCGTGCAACGCAGATCCTGATTGCACTGCCCTGCATGACAACGACTGTACGAACACAGGTGTGCGATATTGCTACAGCGCGATCAGTGACATTGTGGTGAACTGGGAGGGCACGGACAGCAGGGCCTGCACCTATATCAAGTACCAAGTCACCACCAGCACTATCAGCATAGCCTCATCAGTCAGTGAGACTGTCTCAACTGCTACCACTACTGTGACAACCGTATCCACTGAAGCTTTGTACATTGACGGTCCACGAGTGGCCATTGCTGCGTGGTCTGGTCTGTGTTACAGCCAAACGTCCTCGAGGGCTGATGCTGAGGAGGCGTGCAACGCAGATCCTGATTGCACTGCCCTGCATGACAACGACTGTACGGATACTGATGTGCGGTATTGCTACAGCGCGATCAGTGACATTGTGGCGAATTCGGAGGGCACGGACAGCGGGGCATGCACTTACATCAAGTACCAGGTCACCACGAGCACCCGGACCACCAAGACAAGCAGCACAGAGACCAGCAGCACCATCAGCAGCATGACAGACACCTCCACCCTGAGTGGGACCGCGACCAGCTCGGTAACGCTGACATTCACTATCAGCTCGTTCAGTGTCACAGTCACAACGAGTAGCTCATCCGCCAGTAGCAGCACGACAGTTACAGCAGCGACCTCGACTGCCACTACTTTTTCAGGCGCTGCTTCAACGACGGTTACAAGTGTATCCACGGAAGCATTGTACATTGACGGTCCGCGAGTAGCCAGTGCTGCATGGTCTGGTCTATGCTACAGCCCACCTTCCTCGAGGACTGATGCTGAGGCGGCGTGCAACGCAGATCCTGATTGCACTGCCCTGCATGACAACGACTGTACGGACATTGGTGTGCGATATTGCTATAGCGCGATCAGTGACATTGTGGCGAACTGGGAGGGCACGAACAGCAGGGCCTGCACCTACATCAAGTACCAGGTCACCACCAGCACCCTCAGCACAACCACATCAACCATTGCGACTGTATCCACGGAAGCATTGTACATTGACGGTCCGCGGGTGGCCAGTGCTGCGTGGTCTGGTCTATGCTACAGCCCATCGTCCTCGAGGGCTGACGCTGAAGCGGCGTGCAACGCAGATCCTGATTGCATTGCCCTGCATGACAACGACTGTACGAACACAGGTGTGCGATATTGCTACAGCGCGATCAGTGACATTGTGGTGAACTGGGAGGGCACGGACAGCAGGGCCTGCACCTACATCAAGTACCAGGTCACCACCAGCACCCTCAGCACAACCACACCAGTCTCTACTACGTTGACAACCGTGTCCACTGAAGCTTTGTACATTGAGGGTCCGCGAGTGGCTAGCTCTGCATGGAATGGACTATGCTACAGCACATCGTCGTCGAGGGCTGATGCTGAGGCGGCGTGCAACGCAGATCCTGATTGCACTGCCCTGCACGACAACGACTGTACGAACACTGGTGTGCGATATTGCTACAGCGCGATCAGCGACATTGTGGCGAACTGGGAGGGGACGAACAGCAGGGCTTGCACCTACGTCAAGTACCAGGTTACCACCAGCACTCTCAGCACAGCAACATCAGTCAGTGAGACTGTCTCAACTGCTACCACTACTGTGACAACCGTATCCACTGAAGCTTTCTACATTGACGGTCCACGAGTGGCCATTGCTGCGTGGTCTGGTCTGTGTTACAGCCAAACGTCCACGAGGGCTGATGCTGAGGCAGCGTGCAACGCAGATCCTGATTGCACTGCCCTGCATGACAACGACTGTACGGATACTGATGTGCGGTATTGCTACAGCGCGATCAGTGACATTGTGGCGAATTCGGAGGGCACGGACAGCGGGGCATGCACTTACATCAAGTACCAGGTGACCACGAGCACCCGGACCACCAAGACAAGCAGCACAGAGAGCAGCAGTACCATCAGCAGCATGACAGACACCTCCACCCTGAGTGGGACCGCGACCAGCTCGGTAACGCTGACATTCACTATCAGCTCGTTCAGTGTCACAGTCACAACGAGTAGCTCATTCGCCAGTAGCAGCACGACAGTTACAGCAGCGACCTCGACTGCCACTACTTTTTCAGGCGCTGCTTCAACGACGGTTACAAGTGTATCCACGGAAGCATTGTACATTGACGGTCCGCGAGTAGCCAGTGCTGCATGGTCTGGGCTATGCTACAGCCCATCGTCCTCGAGGGCTGATGCTGAGGCGGCGTGCAACGCAGATCCTGATTGCATTGCCCTGCATGACAACGACTGTACGAACACAGGTGTGCGATATTGCTACAGCGCGATCAGCGACATTGTGGTGAACTGGGGGGGCACGAACAGCAGGGCCTGCACCTACATCAAGTACCAGGTCACCACCAGCACCCTCAGCACAACCACATCAACCATTGCGACTGTATCCACGGAAGCATTGTACATTGAGGGTCCGCGGGTGGCCAGTGCTGCATGGTCTGGTCTATGCTACAGCCCATCGTCCTCGAGGGCTGACGCTGAAGCGGCGTGCAACGCAGATCCTGATTGCACTGCCCTGCATGACAACGACTGTACGAACACAGGTGTGCGATATTGCTACAGCGCGATCAGTGACATTGTGGTGAACTGGGAGGGCACGGACAGCAGGGCCTGCACCTACATCAAGTACCAGGTCACCACCAGCACCCTCAGCACAACCACACCAGTCTCTACTACGTTGACAACCGTGTCCACTGAAGCTTTGTACATTGAGGGTCCGCGAGTGGCTAGCTCTGCATGGAATGGACTATGCTACAGCACATCGTCGTCGAGGGTTAATTCTGAGGAGGCGTGCAACGCAGATCCTGATTGCACTGCCCTGCACGACAACGACTGTACGAACACTGGTGTGCGATATTGCTACAGCGCGATCAGCGACATTGTGGCGAACTGGGAGGGGACGAACAGCAGGGCTTGCACCTACGTCAAGTACCAGGTTACCACCAGCACTCTCAGCACAGCAACATCAGTCAGTGAGACTGTCTCAACTGCTACCACTACTGTGACAACCGTATCCACTGAAGCTTTGTACATTGACGGTCCACGAGTGGCCAGTGCTGCGTGGTCTGGTCAGTGTTACAGCCAACCGTCCTCGAGGGCTGATGCTGAGGCAGCGTGCAACGCTGATCCTGATTGCACTGCCCTGCATGACAACGACTGTACGGATACTGATGTGCGGTATTGCTACAGCGCGATCAGTGACATTGTGGCGAATTCGGAGGGCACGGACAGCGGGGCGTGCACTTACATCAAGTACCAGGTCACTACGAGCACCCGGACAACCAAGACAAGCAGCACAGAGAGCAGCAGTACCATCAGCAGCATGACAGACACCTCCACCCTGAGTGGGACCGCGACCAGTTCGGCAACGCTGACATTCACTATCAGCTCGTTCAGTGTCACAGTCACAACCAGTAGCTCATCCGCCAGTAGCACCACGACAATTTCAGCAGCGACCTCAATTGCCACTACATTTTCAGGCGCTGCTTCAACGACGCTGACAAGTGTATCCACGGACGCATTGTACATTGACGGTCCGCGGGTGGCCAGTGCTGCATGGTCTGGTCTATGCTACAGCCAACCGTCCTCGAGGGCTGACGCTGAAGCAGCGTGCAACGCAGATCCTGATTGCACTGCCCTTCATGACACCGACTGTACGAACACAGGTGTGCGATATTGCTACAGCGCGATCAGTGACATTGTGGTGAACTGGAACGGCACGAACAGCAGGGCCTGCACCTACGTCAAGTACCAGGTTACCACCAGCACCCTCAGCACAACCACACCAGTCTCTACTGACACTACTACGCTGACAACCGTATCCACTGAAGCTTTGTACATTGACGGTCCACGAGTGGCCAGTGCTGCGTGGTCTGGTCTATGCTACAGCCAACCGTCCTCGAGGGCTGACGCTGAAGCGGCGTGCAACGCAGATCCTGATTGCATTGCCCTGCATGACAACGACTGTACGGACACAGGTGTGCGATATTGCTACAGCGCGATCAGTGACATTGTGGTGAACTGGCACGGCACGGACAGCAGGGCCTGCACCTACGTCAAGTATCAGGTCACGACCAGCACTCTCAGCACAGCAACATCAGTCAGTGAGACTGTCTCAACTGCTACCACTACTGTGACAACCGTATCCACTGAAGCATTGTACATTGAGGGTCCGCGAGTGGCTAGTTCTGCATGGAATGGACTATGCTACAGCACATCGTCGTCGAGGGTTAATTCTGAGGAGGCGTGCAACGCAGATCCTGATTGCACTGCCCTGCACGACGTCGACTGTACGAACACTGGTGTGCGATATTGCTACAGCGCGATCAGCGACATTGTGGCGAACTGGGAGGGGACGAACAGCAGGGCTTGCACCTACGTCAAGTACCAGATTACCACCAGCACCCAGACTACCACGACAAGCAGCACAGAGAGCAGCAATACAGTCAGCAGTGTGACAGACACCTCCACCCTGAGTGGGACCGCGACCAGCTCGACAACCTTGACACTCACCATCAGCTCTCTCAGTGTTACAGTCACAACGAGTAGCACATTCTCCATCATTTCCACTCTGACGAGTGCCAGTAGGACTAGCAGCACGACGCCGACTTTGACCACACGCTCTCTCAGTGAGACGACGACCATCAGTACGACAGGAATGAGCACGAGTGTGACTTCAACCACTGCGAGCGCGACCACCAGCACAGGCACCGACACTGAAACAACCGCTTCAACGGTGAGTTCTTCGACGAGCATCACGGTCACGTTCAGTACGGTCACGAGCATGAGCACGGTGACAACAATGAGTACAGGCACAGGCAGTGCACCGGCCACTTTCACTTCCACGGTGAGCTCTACGACAACGGTGAGCAGCAGCGTGGTCGAGACGAGCAGCGCGACTCCCAGCAGAACGGCTTCGAGTGCCACGCAGTCGAGCAGCACCACGCCGGCGAGCAGTACCGCGAGCAGCGGCACTTCGCTGACGGGCACGACGGGGTCAGGCAACACTTCGCTGACCGACACAAGCACTTCTACGGCCAGTGCGAGCGATACCAGCAGCACGACGGCCAGTGTGAGTGACACCAGCAGCACGACGGCATCGTCGACCAGTGGGACTTCGAGTGCTTCGGTGACTAGCAGTACGTTTCAGACGAGCAGCAGTGTGACCTCGAGCAGCACGGTCATGAGCATTTCGGGCACGAGCACGAGCACGCGGACGGCGACGACAGCGAGTCCGACCACTACTAGTGGTACTACCGCGGACTCGAGCACCATAACAGTGAGCAGTAGCAGTACCAGCGTGGTCGAGACGAGCAGCGCGACTTCCAGCAGTACGGCTTCGAGTGCCACGCAGTCGAGCAGCACCACGCCGGCGAGCAGTACCACGAGCAGCGGCACTTCGCTGACGGGCACGACGGGGTCAGGCAACACTTCGCTGAGACACAAAGCACTACGGCCAGTGCGAGCGATACCAGCAGCACGACGGCCAGTGTGAGTGACACCAGCAGCACGACGGCATCGTCGACCAGTGGGACTTCGAGTGCTTCGGTGACTAGCAGTACGTCTCAGACGAGCAACAGTGTGACCTCGAGCAGCACGGTCATGAGCAGTTCGGGCACGAGCACGAGCACGAGGACGGCGACGACAGCGAGTCCGACCACTACTAGTGGTACTACCGTGGACTCGAGCACCATAACAGTGAGCAGTAGCTGTACCAGCGTGGTCGAGACGAGCAGCGCGACTTCCAGCAGTACGGCTTCGAGTGCCACGCAGTCGAGCAGCATCACGCCTGCGAGCAGTACCACGAGCAGCGGCACTTCGCTGACGGGCACGACGGGGTCAGGCAACACTTCGCTGACCGACACAAGCACTTCTACAGCCAGTGCGAGCGATACCAGCAGCACGACGGCCAGTGTGAGTGACACCAGCAGCACGACGGCATCGTCGACCAGTGGGACTTCGAGTGCTTCGGTGACTAGCAGTACGTCTCAGACGAGCAACAGTGTGACCTCGAGCAGCACGGTCATGAGCAGTTCGGGCACGAGCACGAGCACGAGGACGGCGACGACAGCGAGTCCGACCACTACTAGTGGTACTACCGTGGACTCGAGCACCATAACAGTGAGCAGTAGCAGTACCAGCGTGGTCGAGACGAGCAGCGCGACTTCCAGCAGTACGGCTTCGAGTGCCACGCAGTCGAGCAGCATCACGCCGGCGAGCAGTACCACGAGCAGCGGCACTTCGCTGACGGGCACGACGGGGTCAGGCAACACTTCGCTGACCGACACAAGCACTTCTACGGCCAGCGCGAGCGATACCAGCAGCACGACGGCCAGTGTGAGTGACACCAGCAGCACGACGGCATCGTCGACCAGTGGGACTTCGAGTGCTTCGGTGACTAGCAGTACGTCTCAGACGAGCAACAGTGTGACCTCGAGCAGCACGGTCATGAGCAGTTCGGGCACGAGCACGAGCACGAGGACTGCGACGACAGCGAGTCCGACCACTAGTGGTACTACCGCGGACTCGAGCACCATAACAGTGAGCAGTAGCAGTACCAGCGTGGTCGAGACGAGCAGCGCGACTTCCAGCAGTACGGCTTCGAGTGCCACGCAGTCGAGCAGCGCCACGCCGGCGAGCAGTACCACGAGCAGCGGCACTTCGCTGACGGGCACGACGGGGTCAGGCAACACTTCGCTGACCGACACAAGCACTTCTACGGCCAGCGCGAGCGATACCAGCAGCACGACGGCCAGTGTGAGTGACACCAGCAGCACGACGGCATCGTCGACCAGTGGGACTTCGAGTGCTTCGGTGACTAGCTGTACGTCTCAGACGAGCAGCAGTGTGACCTCGAGCAGCACGGTCATGAGCAGTTCGGGCACGAGCACGAGCACGAGGACGGCGACGACAGCGAGTCCGACCACTACTAGTGGTACTACCGCGGACTCGAGCACCATAACAGTGAGCAGTAGCAGTACCAGCGTGGTCGAGACGAGCAGCGCGACTTCCAGCAGTACGTCTTCAAGAGTGCACGCAGTCGAGCAGGCACCAGCCGGCGAGCAGTACACGAAGCAGCGGTACTCGCTGACCGCACGACCCGGGGTACAGGCAACACTTTCGCTGACTGACACAAGCACTTCTAGGACAGAGCGAGCGATAACAGCAGCACGAAGGACCAGTGTGAGTGACACCAGCCGCACGACGGCATCGTTCGACATGGGACTTCGGAGTGCGTCGGTGACTAGCAGTACGTTCTCAGACGAGCAGCAGTGTGACCTCGAGCAGCACGGTCATGAGCAGTTCGGGCACGAGCACGAGCACGAGGACGGCGACGACAGCGAGTCCGACCACTACTAGTGGTACTATCGCGGACTCGAGCACCATAACAGTGAGCAGTAGCAGTACCAGCGTGGTCGAGACGAGCAGCGCGACTTCCAGCAGTACGGCTTCGAGTGCCACGCAGTCGAGCAGCGCCACGCCGGCGAGCAGTACCACGAGCAGCGGCACTTCGCTGACGGGCACGACGGGGTCAGGCAACACTTCGCTGACTGACACAAGCACTTCTACGGCCAGCGCGAGCGATACCAGCAGCACGACGGCCAGTGTGAGTGACACCAGCAACAGACGGCATCGTCGACAGTGGACTTAGAGTGCGTCGGTGACTAGCAGTACGTCTCAGACGAGCAGCAGTGTGACCTCGACCAGCACGGTCATGAGCAGTTCGGGCACGAGCACGAGCACGAGGACGGCGACGACAGCGAGTCCGACCACTACTAGTGGTACTATCGCGGACTCGAGCACCATACAGTGAGCCATCAGCAGTATCAGCGTGATCGCGACGACCAGCGCGACTCCAGCAGTACGGCTTCGTGTTTGCAACGCAGTCGAGCAGCAACCACGCCGGCGAGCCGTACACGAGCCAGCGGCACTTCGCTGACCGGCACGCGCGGGGTCAGGCAACACTTCGATGACTGACAACAAGCACTTCTACGGGCCAGTGCCGAGCGATACCAGCAGCACGACGGCCAATGGAGTGACACCACAGCACGACAGGCACGTCGACCAGTGGACTTCGCGTGCTTCGGTGATAGCAGTACGTCTCAGACGAGCAGCAGTGTGACCTCGAGCAGCACGGTCATGAGCAGTTCGGGCACGAGCACGAGCACGAGGACGGCGACGACAGCGAGTCCAACCACTACTAGTGGTACTACCGCGGACTCGAGCACCATAACAGTGAGCAGTAGCAGTACCAGCGTGGTCGAGACGAGCAGCGCGACTTCCAGCAGTACGGCTTCGAGTGCCACGCAGTCGAGCAGCACCACGCCGGCGAGCAGTACCACGAGCAGCGGCACTTCGCTGACGGGCACGACGGGGTCAGGCAACACTTCGCTGACCGACACAAGCACTTCTACGGTCAGCGCGAGCGACACCAGCAGCACAACGGCCAGTGTGAGTGACACCAGCAGCACGACGGCATCGTCGACCAGTGGGACTTCGAGTGCTTCGGTGACTAGCAGTACGTTTCAGACGAGCAGCAGTGTGACCTCGAGCAGCACGGTCATGAGCAGTTCGGGCACGAGCACGAGCACGCGGACGGCGACGACAGCGAGTCCGACCACTACTAGTGGTACTACCGCGGACTCGAGCACCATAACAGTGAGCAGAGCAGAGCAGTACCAACGTGGTTTGAGAACGAGCAGCGGCTGCTCCGCAGTACGGCTTCGAGGGTGGCCTGTCGAGCAGCACCACGCGGCGAGCATAGTACCACGAGCAGCGGCACTTCGCTGACGGCCACGGGGGTAGGCAACACTTGCTGACTGACACAAGCACTTCTACGGCCAGTGCGAGCGATACCAGCAGCACGACGGCCAGTGTGAGTGACACCAGCAGCACGACGGCATCGTCGACCAGTGGGACTTCGAGTGCGTCGGTGACTAGCAGTACGTCTCAGACAAGCAACAGTGTGACCTCGACCAGCACGGTCATGAGCAGTTCGGGCACGAGCACGAGCACGCGGACGGCGACGACAGCGAGTCCGACCACTACTAGTGGTACTACCGCGGACTCGAGCACCATAACAGTGAGCAGTAGCAGTACCAGCGTGGTCGAGACGAGCAGCGCGACTTCCAGCAGTACGGCTTCGAGTGCCACGCAGTCGAGCAGCACCACGCCGGCGAGCAGTACCACGAGCAGCGGCACTTCGCTGACGGGCACGACGGGGTCAGGCAACACTTCGCTGACTGACACAAGCACTTCTACGGCCAGTGCGAGCGATACCAGCAGCACGACGGCCAGTGTGAGTGACACCAGCAGCACGACGGCATCGTCGACCAGTGGGACTTCGAGTGCGTCGGTGACTAGCAGTACGTCTCAGACGAGCAGCAGTGTGACCTCGAGCAGCACGGTCATGAGCAGTTCGGGCACGAGCACGAGCACGAGGACGGCGACGACAGCGAGTCCGACCACTACTAGTGGTACTACCGCGGACTCGAGCACCATAACAGTGAGCAGTAGCAGTACCAGCGTGGTCGAGACGAGCAGCGCGACTTCCAGCAGTACGGCTTCGAGTGCCACGCAGTCGAGCAGCGCCACGCCGGCGAGCAGTACCACGAGCAGCGGCACTTCGCTGACGGGCACGACGGGGTCAGGCAACACTTCGCTGACTGACACAAGCACTTCTACGGCCAGCGCGAGCGATACCAGCAGCACGACGGCCAGTGTGAGTGACACCAGCAGCACGACGGCATCGTCGACCAGTGGGACTTCGAGCGCGTCGGTGACTAGCAGTACGTCTCAGACGAGCAGCAGTGTGACCTCGAGCAGCACGGTCATGAGCAGTTCGGGCACGAGCACGAGCACGAGGACGGCGACGACAGCGAGTCCGACCACTACTAGTGGTACTACCGCGGACTCGAGCACCATAACAGTGAGCAGTAGCAGTACCAGCGTGGTCGAGACGAGCAGCGCGACTTCCAGCAGTACGGCTTCGAGTGCCACGCAGTCGAGCAGCACCACGCCGGCGAGCAGTACCACGAGCAGCGGCACTTCGCTGACGGGCACGACGGGGTCAGGCAACACTTCGCTGACCGACACAAGCACTTCTACGGCCAGTGCGAGCGATACCAGCAGCACGACGGCCAGTGTGAGTGACACCAGCAGCACGACGGCATCGTCGACCAGTGGGACTTCGAGTGCGTCGGTGACTAGCAGTACGTCTCAGACGAGCAACAGTGTGACCTCGAGCAGCACGGTCATGAGCAGTTCGGGCACGAGCACGAGCACGAGGACGGCGACGACAGCGAGTCCGACCACTACTAGTGGTACTATCGCGGACTCGAGCACCATGACAGTGAGCAGTAGCAGTATCAGCGTGGTCGAGACGAACAGCGCGACTTCCAGCAGTACGGCTTCGAGTGCCACGCAGTCGAGCAGCACCACGCCGGCGAGCAGTACCACGAGCAGCGGCACTTCGCTGACGGGCACGACGGGGTCAGGCAACACTTCGCTGACTGACACAAGCACTTCTACGGCCAGCGCGAGCGATACCAGCAGCACGACGGCCAGTGTGAGTGACACCAGCAGCACGACGGCATCGTCGACCAGTGGGACTTCGAGCGCGTCGGTGACTAGCAGTACGTCTCAGACGAGCAGCAGTGTGACCTCGAGCAGCACGGTCACGACCAGTACGGTTTCGAGCAGTGGGACGTCCACGGGCACTTCCACGGTGAGCTCCACGACGACATCGAGCAGCAGCGTGAGCGTGGTCGAGACGAGCAGCGCAACGTCGAGCAGTACGATTTCGAGTGCGACACAGTCGAGCAGCACCACGCCAGGCCAGCACTACGGTGAGCAGCGGCACGACGCTGACGGATACGACAGGGTCATTCAATACCACGCTGACCGAGACGAGTTCTTCGACGGTCAGTGCGAGCGGCACCAGCAGCACGACGGCCAGCTCGAGCGTGACCAGCAGCACAACTGCATCGTCCACCACCTTGACTTCCAGTGCATCGTTGTCTAGCAGTACGTCTCAGACGACCAGCAGTGCGACCTCGAGCAGCACGGTCACGACCAGTACGGTTTCGAGCAGTGCGACGTCCACGGCCACTTCCACGGTGAGCTCCACGACGACGTCGAGCAGCAGCGTGAGCGTGGTCGAGACGAGCAGCGCAACGTCGAGGAGTACGATTTCGAGTGCGACACAGTCGAGCAGCACCACGCCGGCCAGCACTACGGTGAGCAGTGGCACGACGCTGACGGATACGACAGGGTCATTCAACACCACGCTGACCGAGACGAGTTCTTCGACGGTCAGTGCGAGCGGCACCAGCAGCACGACGGCCAGCTCGAGCATGACCAGCAGAACAAATGCATCGTCCACCACCTTGACTTCCAGTGTATCGTTGTCTAGCAGTACGTCTCAGACGACCAGCAGTGCGACCTCGAGCAGCACGGTCACGACCAGTACGGTTTCGATCAGTGCGACGTCCACGGCCACTTCCACGGTGAGCTCCACGACGACATCGAGCAGCAGCGTGAGCGTGGTCGAGACGAGCACGATTTCGAGTGCGACACAGTCGAGCAGCACCACGCCGGCCAGCACTACGGTGAGCAGCGGCACGACGCTGACGGATACGACAGGGTCATTCAATACCACGCTGACCGAGACGAGTTCTTCGACGGTCACAACCACTCTGACCAGTGGTACTACTACCCTCACCAGCACCACATATTCAAGCTCCACCTCTGTGACCACTGTAAGCTCTACATGGACCAGCACAACGGCGACCAGTGCAACAGCGACCACCACCATCACCTTGACCTCTCAAACCCTATCCAGCTCTTTTTCTTTGACCACGGACACGACCACTTACACTTTGAGCTCCACGACGACAGTCAGCGTGACCAAGACAAGTACTTCGACGGCTAGTGCGAGCAGAAGCAGCAGCACGACGGCTATTTTGAGCACTACCAGCAGCACGATTGCTTCGTCAACCACTGGGACTTCGAGCAGTGAGACGTCCACTGCCACTTCAACGGGGAGCTTGACGACGACATCGAGCAGCAGCGTGAGCGTGGTCGAGATGAGCAGCGCAACGTCGACCAGCACGATTTCGAGTGCGACACAGTCGAGCAGCACCACGCCGGCCAGCAGTACCACGAGCAGCGGCACTTCGCTGACGGGCACGACGGGGTCAGGCAACACTTCGCTGACTGACACAAGCACTTCTACGGCCAGCGCGAGCGATACCAGCAGCACGACGGCCAGTGTGAGTGACACCAGCAGCACGACGGCATCGTCGACCAGTCGGACTTCGAGTGCTTCGGTGACTAGCAGTACGTCTCAGACGAGCAGCAGTGTGACCTCGACCAGCACGGTCATGAGCAGTTCGGGCACGAGCACGAGCACGAGGACGGCGACGACAGCGAGTCCGACCACTACTAGTGGTACTATCGCGGACTCGAGCACCATAACAGTGAGCAGTAGCAGTACCAGCGTGGTCGAGACGAGCAGCGCGACTTCCAGCAGTACGGCTTCGAGTGCCACGCAGTCGAGCAGCACCACGCCGGCGAGCAGTACCACGAGCAGCGGCACTTCGCTGACGGGCACGACGGGGTCAGGCAACACTTCGCTGACCGACACAAGCACTTCTACGGCCAGCGCGAGCGATACCAGCAGCACGACGGCCAGTGTGAGTGACACCAGCAGCACGACGGCATCGTCGACCAGTCGGACTTCGAGTGCGTCGGTGACTAGCAGTACGTCTCAGACGAGCAGCAGTGTGACCTCGACCAGCACGGTCATGAGCAGTTCGGGCACGAGCACGAGCACGAGGACGGCGACGGCAGCGAGTCCGACCACTACTAGTGGTACTACCGCGGACTCGAGCACCATAACAGTGAGCAGTAGCAGTACCAGCGTGGTCGAGACGAGCAGCGCGACTTCCAGCAGTACGGCTTCGAGTGCCACGCAGTCGAGCAGCACCACGACGGCGAGCAGTTTCACGAGCAGCGGCACTTCGCTGACGGGCACGACGGGGTCAGGCAACACTTCGCTGACCGACACAAGCACTTCTACGGCCAGTGCGAGCGATACCAGCAGCACGACGGCCAGTGTGAGTGACACCAGCAGCACGACGGTATCGTCGACCAGTGGGGCTTCGAGTGCTTCGGTGACTAGCAGTACGTCTCAGACGAGCAGCGGTGTGACCTCGAGCAGCACGGTCATGAGCAGTTCGGGCACGAGCACGAGCACGAGGACGGCGACGACAGTGAGTCCGACCATTACGAGTGGTACTACCGCGGACTTGAGCACCATAACAGTGAGCAGTAGCAGTACCAGCGTGGTCGAGACGAGCAGCGCGACATCCAGCAGTACGGCTTCGAGTGCCACGCGGTCGAGCAGCACCACGCCGGCGAGCAGTTTCACGAGCAGCGGCACTTCGCTGACGCGCACGACGGGGTCAGGCAACACTTCGCTGACCGACACAAGCACTTCTACGGCCAGTGCGAGCGATACCAGCAGCACGACGGCCAGTGTGAGTGACACCAGCAGCACGACGGTATCGTCGACCAGTGTGGCTTCGAGTGCTTCGGTGACTAGCAGTACGTCTCAGACGAGCAGCAGTGTGACTTCAAGCAGCACGGTCATGAGCAGTTCGGGCACGAGCACGAGGACGACGACGACAGCGAGCTGGACTACTACGAGTGGTACTACCGCGGACTCGAGCACCATAACAGTGAGCAGTAGCAGTATCAGCGTGGTCGAGACGAGCAGCGCGACATCCAGCGGTACGGCTGCTAGTGCCACGCAGTCGAGCAGCACCACGCCGGCGAGCAGTACCGCGAGCAGCGGCACTTCGCTGACGGGCACGACGGGGTCAGGCAACACTTCGCTGACCGACACAAGCACTTCTACGGCCAGTGCGAGCGATACCAGCAGCACGACGGCCAGTGTGAGTGACTCCATTAGCACGACGGCATCGTCGACCAGTGGGACTTCGAGTGCTTCGGTGAGTAGCAGTACGTCTCAGACGAGCAGCAGTGTGACCTCCAGCAGCACAGTCACGATAAGGTCGGGCACGAGCACGGAGACGACAGCGAGTCCGACCATTACGAGTGGTAGTACGACCCTGACCAGCAACTCAGAGACAAGCACAACCTCTGTGACCACTGCCACAGTGTCAACTGCAAGCTCTACTTGGTCCAGCACATCGGCGACCAGCATATCAGCAATCAGCACCAGCACCTTGACCACACCCACTATGTCTAGCACAATCACCTCGACCACGGTGAGCAGTGCGACATCCACGGCCACTTCAACAGCGAGCCCCACGACAACAGTGACCAGCAGCGTGAGCGTGGTCGAGACGAGCAGCGCGACATCCAGCAGTACGGCCTCGAGTGCCACGCAGTCGAGCAGCACCACGCCGGCGAGCAGTACCACGAGCAGCGGCACGTCGCTGACGGGCACGACAGGGTCAGGCAACACTTCGCTGACCGACACAAGCACTTCTACGGCCAGTGCGAGCGATACCAGCAGCACGACGGCCAGTGTGAGTGACACCATTAGCACGACGGCATCGTCGACCAGTGGGACTTCGAGTGCTTCGGTGACTAGCAGTACGTCTCAGACGAGCACCAGTGTGACCTCGAGCAGCACGGTCATGAGCAGTTCGGGCACGAGTACGAGGACGGTGACGATGGCGAGTACGACAACTACTAGTAGTACTACCACGTACTCGAGCACCACCACGGTGAGCAGCAGTATCAGCGTGGTCGAGACGAGCAGCGCAACATCCAGCGGTACGGCTTCGAGTGCCACGCAGTCGAGCAGCATCACGCCGGCGAGCAGTACCACGAGCAGCGGCACTTCGCTGACGGGCACGACGGGGTCATTCAACACTTCGCGGACCGAGACAAGCACTTCTACGGACAGTGCGAGCGATACCAGCAGCACGACGGCCAGTTCGAGTGACACCACCAGCACGATGACGTCGGCAACGGCGAGTACGACTACCACGAGTGGTACTACCACCCTGACCAGCACTTCGTGGTCAATCACCACCTCTGTGACCACTGCCGCAGTGACAACTGCAAGCTCTACTTGGTCCAGCACATCGGCAACCAGTATATCAGCAATCAGCACCAGCACCTTGACCACACCCACCATGTCCAGCATAACCACCTCGGCCACGGCGAGCAGTGCGACATCCACGGCCACTTCAACAGCGAGCCCCACGATAACAGTGAGCAGCAGCATGAGCGTGGTCGAGACGAGCAGTGCGACATCCACCCGTACGACTTCGAGTGCCACGCAGTCGAGCAGCACCACGCCGGCGAGCAGTACCGCGAGCAGCGGCACGTCGCTGACGGGCACGACTGGCTCAGGCAACACTACGCTGACCGAGACAAGCACTTCTACGGCCAGTGCGAGCGATACCAGCAGCACGACGGCCAGTTCGAGTGACACCAGCAGCACGACGGCATCGTCGACCAGTGGGACTTCCAGTGCCTCGGTGACTAGCAGTACGTCCCAGACGGGCAGCAGTGCGACCTCGAGCAGCACGGTCACGATCAGTTCGGTCACGAGCACAAGGACGGCGACGACGGCGAGTATGAACAACACGACGAGTGGTACTGCCACGTACTCGAGCACCACCACGGTGGGCAGCAGTAGCAGCAGCAGCAGCAGCAGCAGCAGCAGGATGAGCATGGTCGAGACGAGCAGCGTGACTTCCAGCGGTACGGCTTCGAGTGCCACGCAGTCAAGTAGCACTACGCCGGCGAGCAGTACCGCGAGCAGCGGCACGTCGCTAACGGGCACGACTGGCTCAGGCAACACTACGCTGACCGAGACAAGCACTTCTACGGCCAGTGCGAGCAGTATTAGCAACACGATGGCCAGTTTTAGCGATACCAGCAGTACAACAGCATCGTCGACCACCGGGACTTCCAGTGCCTCGGTGACTAGCAGTACGTCCCAGACGGGCAGCAGTGTGACCTCGAGCAGCACGGTCATGAGCAGTTCGGGCACGAGCACAAGGACGGCGACGACGGCGAGTACGAGCTCGAGCAGTGCGACGTTCGCGGCCACCTCCACAGTGAGTCAGGTCACTGTTAGTTTCAGTAGCACAACGACTCCGACAACTCGCACGACGTCCAGCACAAGCAAAGTGATCACGAGTGCCACAGCAAGCAGCAGCATAACGAAGACCAGTATGACTGGCACTACAGGGAGCTCCAGCGTGACGCAGACTCCGACAGCAACCAGTAGTACTACGTTCGCCACCAGCAGCCAGACAACGACAAGCCTGACCAGCTTTAGCGAGAGCAGCACTACGAGCCTGACCAGCACAACAGCAACAGGCAGCAGCACGCAGAGCAGCAGCCAGAGCACTGACAGTATCAGCAGCACGCCTACGCTGACAACGCCGACGGTGTCCAGAACAAGCACAGTGAGCACGAGCGCCACATCAAGCATCACAACAAAAACCAGTGTAACTGGTACTACAGGGAGCTTCAGCGTGACGCAGACTCCGACAGCAACCAGTAGTACTACGTTCGCTACCAGCAGCCAGAGCAGCACGCAATCTACGGCCACGAGTCGCACGGCAAGCAGCACGACACTGACGCAGAGTACCACCACAGTTTCGTTGACAACTGCCAGCCTAACTAGCTTCACTGAGACCAGCACCACAACCCTGACCAGCACAACAACTGCAAGCAGTCAGAGCACTACCAGTGGAAGTAGCACTTTTACGCTGACAACGTGGACGGGTTCGAGTAACACAGAAAGCAGTACAATGACGCACAGCACCGTCAGTGTCTCCCAGACATCGACAAGCCTGACCAGCTTTAGCGAGAGTAGCACTACGAGCCTGACCAGCACAACAGCTACAGACAGCAGCACGCAGAGCAGCAGTCCGAGCACTGACAGTATCAGCAGCACGCCTACGCTGACAACGCCGACGGTGTCCAGAACAAGCACAGTGAGCACGAGCGCCACATCAAGCATCACAACAAAAACCAGTGTAACTGGTACTACAGGGAGCTTCAGCGTGACGCAGACTCCGACAGCAACCAGTAGTACTACGTTCGCTACCAGCAGCCAGAGCAGCACGCAATCTACGGCCACGAGTCGCACGGCAAGCAGCACGACACTGACGCAGAGTACCACCACAGTTTCGTTGACAACTGCCACCCTGACCAGCTTCACTGAGACCAGCACCACAACCCTGACCAGCACAACAACTGCAAGCAGTCAGAGCACTACCAGTGGAAGTAGCACTTTTACGCTGACAACGTGGACGGGTTCGAGTAACACAGAAAGCAGTACAATGACGCACAGCATCGTCAGTGCCTCCCAGACATCGACAAGCCTGACCAGCTTTAGCGAGAGCAGCACTACGAGCCTGACCAGCACAACAGCTACAGACAGCAGCACGCAGAGCAGCAGTCCGAGCACTGACAGTATCAGCAGCACGCCTACGCTGACAACGCCGACGGTGTCCAGAACAAGCACAGTGAGCACGAGCGCCACATCAAGCATCACAACAAAAACCAGTGTAACTGGTACTACAGGGAGCTTCAGCGTGACGCAGACTCCGACAGCAACCAGTAGTACTACGTTCGCTACCAGCAGCCAGAGCAGCACGCAATCTACGGTCACGAGTCGCACGGCAAGCAGCACGACACTGACGCAGAGTACCACAACAGTTTCGTTGACAACTGCCACCCTGACCAGCTTCACTGAGAGCAGCACCTCAACCTTCACCGCCACAACAGGCACAGGCAGCAGCACGATGACCACAACTTCAAGCAAGACCAGCGGGACGAGTACGTCTCCGACGGGGACCAGCTCTGTCACACAAAGTACACTGACACGCAGCACCACCACCACCGCCATCACCGTCAGCACAAGTGCCACGAGCACCAGAAGCGTAACCAGCAGCAGTAAAACCAGTACCACAACATGGACCACGACGACAGCGACCAGCACTACGACGATAAGCACAAGTGTTACAGAAAGTAGCAGCATATCGCTTAGCAGCCTCAGTGTCACATCGACCAGCATGACCACGATGAGCACAAGTGTCACAGAAACCAGCAGCACGTCGCTAAGTTCGCTCAGCGTCACAGATACCACAATAAGCTTGAGTCTGACCAGCACTAGTGCGAGTAGTACAATAACCCCGACCACCACAAGCGCTACCATTACTTCAACTCTTACATCTACGAGCGATACCTCCACAACTCTTACGACCACACTCACTGTCACCCGTACCAGCTCATTGACGTCGACGTTGTCTGCCACGCCGACTAGCACGGTGACGCGCAGCAGCATGACGAGCGCCACCACGCTCACGCGGACGAGCTCCACCACGGCGACCGTGGCCTCCGGCTGGGTGCTGGGAGCCGCTCGTGCCTCCTGCTCGGCCTCGTGCGCCGACGCCGGCCTGCACTGCAGCGAGGACCCGCTTCTGGCGGAGGAGGAAGGCAGGAGGAGGGAGGAGGAGAGGAAAGGAGGAGTGGGATGACGAGGTAGAGACTCGGGAGGCATGGAGGCAGGGAGGGAAGGAGGAGACGGGGAGAAGGAACAGAGAGAGGAGGGTGTAGGGGAGGAGGAGGAGGAGGAGGAGGAGGAGGAGGAGGAGGAGGAGGAGGAGGAGGAGGATACGGAGGGAGGCAATTATAAAGGAGGAGGAGAGGGATGCTGATGCTGATGCTGATGATGATGATGCTGCTGCTGCTGCTGATGATGACAATGATGCTGATGATGCTGATGATGCTGATGATGCTGATGCTGATGCTGATGGTGCTGATGATGATGGTGATGATGATGATGCTGATGGTGATGCTGGTGATGGTGATGCTGGTGATGATGATGATGATGATCGTAATGATGCTGATGATGGTGATGATGGGGATGATGCTGATAGTGGTGATCGTGGTGATGATGGTGATGGCGGTGTTGACGATGCTGATGATGATGGTGGTGATGATGCTGATGATGACGGTTATGCTTGTGATTGTGATGCTGATGATGATGATGGTGATGCCGGTGACGATGATGGTGATCGTGGTGCTGATGATGATCATGATTCAGACGATGGTGATGGTGATGATGCTGCTGATGAAAATGGTGATGATGATGATGACGGTCATGCTGCTGCTGATGATGATGGATGATTCTGATGTTTGGTGATCGGGATGATGCTGATGATATTGATGCTGACGTGATGATATTTACCATCATGGTTATGATGATGCAGGTGATGCTAATCCCTACGACGATGGCGATGCCGATAATGACGATGATGATGCTGATGATGATGCTGGTGATGGTGATGATACTGATGTTGTTGATGATTATGGTGATGCTTCTGATTATGATGATGCTGTTGCTGATGATGATGCTGATGCTGCTGACTACGATGATGATGGTGATGCTGCTGATGATGATGCTGACGATGATGCTGATGATGATGATGATGATGATGATGAGGATGATGATAATGATGATGATGAGGATGATGCTGATGATGATGCTTATTCTGAGCATGATTATGATGCTGATGATAATGACGAGGAGGAGGAGGAGGAAGAAGAAGGCAGCCCGTGCTTCAGGTCCGATCAACATCAAAAATAAGGAAGAAGAGGAGGACGAGCAGAGCCAGAGTAAGCCCAGGGTGTAGCAAAGATGCTGCAATACACCGTCCCGTCCCAAGCCCCTTCACAGGTTCTCAGGAGCATCCTCTCCGCGGCGCGAGGCGCCATCTCGAACGACGGGCCCCCGTGGGCCCGCAGTGCGAGCGGGAGGTCTGTTTGGAAAGAACTGCCCTTCCTCCTCCACCTCCTCCTCCGCCTCCTCCTCCTCCTCCTGCCTCTCCCTCCTCCCTCCTCCCTCCTTCTCCTCCTCCCTCCTCCGCCTCCTCCTTCTCCTTCTTCTCCTCCTCCTCCTCCTCCTCCTCCTTTCAAGACCCGTTCAATATCGACCCTAAGTCTAACTAAAGACGTGGCCGCAGAGAGGGGGCCCTCCTCCTACCCATCCTGCCTTCCCGAGGTCCTCGAGGTGGAGGAGCTCGCCCGTCAAGAGACACCGACGAAGGAGTCGACGAACTCGTGGACGTCGAACGGAGGCCTACCCCCTCGCCTCGCAGGGGGCCCCGCAGGGCTGAGGCCTACCCCCTCGCCTCGCAGGGGCTGCGTGTGGCCTACCCCCTTGCCACGCAGGGGTCGTCCTCCTCGGAGTCGGTCTGGTCCTCGTCATCTGAGTCCGTGGTCGCGCCAGCGTGTGTCGACCACTCGGCGGCCTCTGTGCGGACGCACTCTACGAGGTCCTCGCACATGAAGATGGCCCTGTCGAAGTCGTCGCCGTGGGTCTCGCTCGAAGCTGCGATGAACAATTCGAGGCCGTCCTTCCCTTGCACTGCCGTGAGGAGCGCGCGCACGCCAGTCTCCGCCTGGATGCAGCGGATGTTCCTGCTTTCCTCGCCGAGGATGCGGGACTGCCATGGGAAGTGCTCGTCGAAGTTCTCAGTGTCGATGGGGATGCTGTGTGTCATGGTGACCTTCTGCTTGCTGATGTGGCCTGACCCCTCGCCGCGCAGGGGTTCGCGGTGGCTTACCCCCTCGCCGCGCAGGGGTCCGAAGGAGTCGTCGTAGTCGATGCTGTCGCCGTTCTCCGCCTCGGAGCTCTTCGTCTCGCGGCGCTCGTGGCCTACCCCCTCGCCACGCTGGGTTGCGCAGTGGTCTAACCCCTCGCCACGCTGGGGTCCGGAGGAATCGTCGTCGTCGAAGCTGTCGCCGTCCTCCGCCGCAGAGCTCATCTCGTGGAGCTCGTGACCTACCCCCTCGCCACGCAAGGGTTCCAGGGGGTCGTCGTCGAAGCCGTCGCCGTCCTCTGCCTCGGAGCCCTTCGTCTGGTGGAGCTCGTGGCCTACCCCCTGGCGACGCAGGGGACCGGAAGAAACGAAGACGCCCTCGGAAGCAGTGCCCGTGACAGCTGAGCCGCTCGGAGCACCATGAAGAAGAGGGTGTGCGGCCGATCGTGCTCTCCGCATTTGGCCTTCCACCTCCTCCTTGCCGGGCAGGGGGCGGAGGCTCGGCCGCCAGCTGGCGTAGGAGCGAAGGGCGCTATTGCCGACGTAGCCGTGCTCGTCGGTGCTGTCTGGATCCAAGGACCGCTTCTCGTTGGCGGAAGTGACGGAGACGCCGATGCTGTCGAGGGCCGCCGCTCCCGTGGGGTGCGTACGGCTGCTCCTCTGGGTTTCTGGTGTCATGCGGCCACCACGCTTCTTGCCCTTCCCGCGGCGCTGGTTTTCCTACGGTCTCGCGTTCAAGACGTGGATGGCCTGGTCGAAGTTGTGCTCGGCATTGTTTCTGGAGGCCCGTCCAGCTCCGTAGATGTTCGGTTTCGACCCGAACGCTGCGGCCTCGTCGTTCTGCTTGATGACGGGCTCGATGTAGTGCATCCTCGCGTTGACCTCGCCTTGCAGAGGGTCGGCCGCACCGACGAGGCTCCGCAGCAAATCGTCCGTGCTTTGCCAGTTGTCCAGCTGTAAGTTGTGCCACCATTCTTCCCACCATGATAAGCGACGCTGAAGAGAGGCGATGAACAAAGCCTGCTCCTGCACCTTAGCTGTTGTGACTGCTCTCGCCTGGGCCTGTTTGCCCTTTCGTGCCGCTCGGACTGCTCTTGACCATGAGATGCTGGTTTCCTCGACAGGCTTCGCACACCATTGCGTAGGCGCGCCTTGCCCGAACCTCGCCATTCCTGCCACGTGCCATGCCATGCCTGGTTGAGCCAAGATGGTCGGGGCGCGCGACGCGGTTTGAGCCAAAATGGCTACGGACCCTCCTCCTCTTCCTCCTCCTCCTCCTCTTCCTCCCTCCTCCTTCCTCCTCCTCCAACTCCTCCTCCTCCGCCTCCTCCCGCCTCCTTCTCCCCAAACTCCTGCAGCTCCTCCTTCTCCTCCTCCTCCTCCTTTTTGTCTTAGGCAGACTGGGCGGCGCTCGTAGCGTCGTGCCACATGACTCCGATGGGTAAGCGATCAATATGTCCGAAAGCGAGTCACGTGCCACTCAAGCATACTGGTTTGACAGAATGCCAGAAAGTGAGAAGAGAGACGAGGCAAAGTGGACAAAGGAGATGCCCACACGTGAGTTTAGCCAGGAAAGTCGGTCGGAGTAGGCACAAGCACGGTTACCCCCACCCACCACCAATTCTGTCCCTCCACTCACCCGCTCCCGCTCTACAAACCGAAGCATCCCGTGACAAGGATACTCACCGAGGGCAGTTCAAACCCTCACCGAGGGCAGCTGGCAGTCTATTGCTACGGTGCCCTCGCCGAGGGAGTATCGAAGACGCCAACGGCGAATCACTGCCGCCCCCTGCCTTCTAGAATCGCCCTTGTGGCCGAGCATTGTGGCAAGAGCTCCGCCAAGCTATCGTTGGGGGAACACTTGGGGGAGGTTTGGCGGGGAAGATCAGGAGGAGGCGGAGGAGGAGGTGGAGGAGGAGAAGGAGGAGGAGGAGGAATAAGAGGAGAAGGAGGAAAAGGAGGAGGAGGAGGAAGAGGAGGAGGAGGAGGAGGATGAGGAGGAGGAGGAGGAGGAGGAGAAGGAGGAGGAGGAGGAGGAGGAGGAGGAGAAGGAGAAGGCATCTTGGGAGCCTCTGGGGGCACCCTTGGTGCCTCCTGGGAGCTTACTGGGAGCCTCTTGTAGGCATCTTGGGGGCCTCCTTGGGGCTCTTGGGAGCCTTTGGGGGCTTCTCCGGGTCTCTTTGGCCGTCTTGGTGGGCTTCTGGCCCGTCTGACGCCGTCGGAAGCCTTGGGGGCCTCACAGGGCCGACTTGGGGCCTTCTCGGGGTGCTCCAGGGCCGTCTTGGAGGCCATCTTGGCGTCTTGGAGGCCTCTTGGGCCGTCTTGGGGCCCTCTTGGGGCCGTCATGGGGCCTCTTGGGCCGTTCTGGGGCCATCCTGGAGGCCTCTTCGGCGATCTTGGGGCGATCTTTGCGGGCTCTTGGGCCGTCTCGGGCCGTCGGTAGGCCGACAAGAAGTAAATTCTAAAATTTTTCAAACACCTCAGGGCAATCAGTGATTTTGGCCTCTGCGGGCCTTCCTGGAGGCCCTCTTGGACTCCTCTTGGGCCGTCTTGAACCATCTTAGGGCCATCCTGGGCCGTCTTGGTGGGCTCCTGGCCCGTCTGACGCCGTCGGAAGCAGGTTTGGGGGCCTCTCCGGGCCGACTTGGGGTCCTTTTGGAATGCTCCAGGGCCGTCTTGGAGCCTTTCTTGGGTGTCTTCGAGGCCTCTTGGGCCGTCTTCGGGCCCTCTTGGGGCCGTCTTGGGGACCTCTTGGGCCGTTCTGGGGCCATCTTGGGGGCTTCTTGGGCGATCTTGGGGCGATCTTTGGGGGCTCTTGGGCCGTCTCGGGCCGTCGGTAGGTCGAAAAGAGGCAAATGCCAAACTCCTT